GCTCTTTCACAGCACGCTCGCCAAACTGATCCCTGTTCACCAAAGTAATCCCTGAGTAATTCAACGTAGCACTTCCACAGCACATTCGCCAAAATGACCTCTGAGTATTCACACCACATTCACCAAACTGATCCCTGAGTAGCTAAACCTAGCTGCCTAGCTCTTCCACAGCACATTCACAAACTGATTTCTAAGTAGTTCAACTTAGCTTGTCCACAGCACATTTTCCAAGAGATCGCAGGATAGTTGTAGACTTGTAATGTACTTATCAAAGCAGTTTTTTCCCCACCCGTAGGACTGTGGGGCTGTTAGATTTTAAGAACTTTGGACTTCAGTAGACTCGCTACTTCTGCACATCCACCAGAGTGGTCCCAGCGTAGCTCAGAGCAACCCAAAGAACACAGCACACCCTCCAGAGTGGCCCACAGTGGCCCAGAGTAGCCCTTACACAGCACATCCACCAGAGTGGCCCCGAGTAGCCCAGCGTAGCCTTGACACCAGCACATTCACCAGAGTGCTCCCAAGTACCAGTTCCACAGCATATCCACCACAAGTTGACTTGGCAGGGATGCGGGGTTGCCAGGCATTAAAATATCGAAGTTCAGAAACCTCACAAGTAAGTATTCGATATGTGGTTTTGTTTTCAATAAAGAATCCTTTTCGCGCCGAACCGCTTTTCTCTTGTGAAGACCAATTCTTTGAGGGTGGGGAATTTTGAAGTAAAGTAATTTTAACCCCCCAACCTCTTTTTTCCCCAAACAGTTTATTGTTGGGGTTCTATCTTAGAAAGAAAAGAGCTGGCCACACTCACTGGCCGCGCCCCTGAACTCTGTGGCTGGGCTCTGTGGCTCTGTGGCTGAGCTCTGTGGCTGGGCCTTGTCCTCCTCTTGTCCTCCTCTTGGCCGCGTCTCTGAACTCTGTCAACTCTGTGGCTGGGCCTTGTCCTCCTCTTGTCCTCCTCTTGGCTGCGCCCCCGAATTCTGTCAAGGCCCAGCCACAGAGTTCTGTCAACTCTGTGGCTGGGCTCTGTGGCTGGGCCTTGTCCTCCTCTTGGCTCTGTCAATGTGTGGCTCGGTGTGTGGCCCGGCCCTGTGCCCGGGTCTTGTCCTCCTCTCGTCTTGGCCGCGCCCCTGAACTGTGTGGCTGGTCTCTGTGACCTAAACGAATCGTTTTGAAGCAGTTTGGGGTCTATGCTTGTACAATTTCAACCTACACCCCTCTTTTGACCCCCCCGATCCTTTTGCAAAACCCCAACCACTTTCTTCTAACCACCAACCTCTCTTTTTTACACCCCAACCTTGCTTTTTAAACCCACGACCTTTCTTTTTTAACCCCGAACCTCTTTTGGGCACCCGGCCCTTACTTTTTGAGAGCTGGAGGGGGGGTTGTTGAACACCTGTTCGGGCGCTAGGGGCAGTGTTTCGTTGATTGCGCGGTCGTTGTTGTTGTTGTTGCTGTGCAACACGTGCGCAGGCGTTACGGGGACTGTTGTTGTTGTTGTTGTTGCTGCTGTTCAACCCGTGCGCAAGCGCGCGGGGGAGTGTTTGCGAAAAAACCTCGGGGGGACTGCGCGGGCGTCATTAGGGAGTGTTTGAAAGGGGCCCGGGGGGTGTTGAACACCTGTTCGGGCGCCAGGCTCAGAGGGAGGGCGCAGCGCCTCCCCCCGAAGTCAAAGAAAAGGTACTTGCTTCGCTTGTTGTCGTTGTCGTTGTCGTCGTCGTCGTCGTTGTTGTTGTTGTTGTTGTTGTTGCTTTTGTTGTTGCTGTTCAACACGTGCGCAGGCGTCAGGGGGAGTGTTTGAATAAAAACAGAGAAAGCTGGAGGGGGAGGGCGCAGCGCCTCCCCCGGAAGTCAAAGCAAAGGCACTTGCTTCGCTTGTTGTTACCTTCCCGTTACACTCTCTTCATGACTAATGAGTTGACTAATGTTACCCGGGCTCCCCTCGTATTTCGAGTTCGCACAGAGAAGACGGGTAGGGGGGGACGTCCTTTTACTTGGCGCCATGCGTCTGCTACTTGCGGCAACGTGTTTTCAATGCGCGCGCCTGCTTCTGCTTCTTGCGGCAACATGTTCTCACCCTGCGCTGCTGCCCGGGAGCCAGGCCACACACCGAGTCTGCTTCTTGAGCCACCTGCTTCTACTTCTTCTTGCGACAACATGTTTTCACGGTGCGCGGTGGCGCAGAGCCGAGCGGCAGACAGCATGACACACCGGGGTCCACTACTTGAGCCATGCTTCTTGAGTCACCTGGTGCCACCTGCTTTTCCTTCTTCCGGCAACATGTTTTCATCATGCGCTGCCGCTATGGAGGCGAGCCGCGCAACAGCGTGACACCCCCACGTCATCACGGCAAGTGGGCTGGCGCAGCGTGCTGGGTGGGCGCTGTGTAAGTGGTCCGAGGGGCATAGGCACTCGCAGGCAAGGGTCAAGGGCCAAAAAAGCAAGGTCAGGGGTTAAAAAAGAAAAGGTTGGGGGTTAGAAAAAAGCGCTGGGGGTTAGAAAAAAGGATCGGGGGTTTAAAAAAAGAGGTCGGGGGGGTTAAAAAGAAAAGGTCTGAGAGGTTAAAAACAATTGTTTTGAAGGGGGTTTAAAAAAAGGTCGGGGGGTTAAAAAAAGGAAAGGAGAGCCCTTTACCTTTGCCCTTCTGATCACCTTCATTTCGTTTCTGATCTCCCTTTCCTTTCTTTCCTTTGCCTTCTGCATCTTTACCTTTGCCTTTCTCATGGCCATTCTTGCCTTTTCGTTTGGCATCTTGGATTCGATCAACATCCATTGCCATATGTCCTTGTCTGCACTGCTACTTGCCACCATGGACGTAGCCCACTTCTGCTGAGAACGATCCGCGGCAACATGTGTTCTCTCAAAGCTGAGTATTGAACAATGTCGCCAATTGTCAAATTCAAGGATGATCTGAGCTGTCCACCTACATCTCAAAAGAATGGCGGATTTCAACTCTTCTTGAATTGTTGTTCCTGCCTTGAATTGTTCTTCATCAAATACTTCTTCAAGCTTCAGAAGTTGAGGTAGTAGCGCACTGTTCATTGAACGTGCTGCCATGTAGTGGCTGCTCCCGGTTTGAAAGCTTTGTTCAAACACTTCCAGGCGTCAAATCCATTGGAGCCCTCCACAGCTTTCACCAATTGCAGCGCTCTGCCCCTCATCAGTGAAGCTAGCAATCCATAGAGCTTGATGCACCTGGTCTTATCTTCTCCAGTTGCCAGTCCATGTCCAATTTCTCACTTCACTTGTAAGATCCTTCTCAGATCCTTCATCAGCCTCATCTATTGAGCAAAGATACTTGTCAAATATCCATGACCTCTGTCTGAACGCTTTGATCTCTTCCTCTTGTGACTCGTAGTCAAAGAGATGGGGCTGTGTGATCAACTTTATGGCTTGCGAGGCTTTGTTTTCTTTTCTCACCTGCTGATGCTGTTGCTGCTGTGCTCTTTGCTATAATTGTAAGGATTTCTCTGATCTCCTCTGTCTATACTGCGCCAGTTCAGCTATTTCGGTTCCAGCCGCACCAAATCTATGGCTCGAAATCGCACCCGGGACCCAGTGACCTAGGGGCTTTTCTTTCTGAAGCTCAAAGGGGTTACCCTTATCCTTGCTCCACTACCATGAGAACTTTTTCCTTGATACACTACATGTGATTTACCTTGAAACATATTCACAAAACCATTATTTCGGCAGTCTTTCTGGCATACCTTCTGACTCGCGGTTGAGGTCTGGCGGGGACGGCAGCTGACACAAAGTCTAACAGCTCTCACCTGACAGGTGGGGACAGAAAGGACAACTGCAATAAAACAATGTTCAACAACGGAGACGGAAACGCGCCGTGCTTCAGTGCTTTACTGATCAATGCTTTACAGCTTCAGGTACAAAGCCGGCCGCCCCAAGAAAAATGAATCCGGGGCTGCTCGGTTGCCGTTTGTTGTCTGCACAGCAACGTGCAACAAACAAAAGGGTGCTGCCAACGCAGTGTAACTCAATGTCATGTAAACACAGGCGGAGAACGACATGTGCTTGATGAGGCGGCAGAATTTCTTGCCTTGAAGGTGCGTCCTGACGAACTGAGCCCCCGCCACGGCCCCAACGTTCAGCCAAACGGTTGAGCGCCTGTGCCAAGGAGCCCGAGTGCACACGATGCGCAGTACTTCAAAAAACATGCTTGTGGCGCACTCTTGCAGGGCACTCGTTGCTTCTTTCAAAAGTCACGCACCAAGTCTCCAATACGAGCGTTTCATTCGAGATTTCCTCCATGGGAACGCTCAACAGAGCGTGAGCGAACGCATGAAGCAGCCCAATGGCACAGCGAAGTGAAGGCAACACGCTTATCTCACGAAAGGCTGCTCCTGCGCAGCAAATCAGCCTCACACGTAGTTCACTGTATGTTACCATTCTACAAAATTTTACACAAATCTGAGACCTCAACCTTCCATCCAAGACCTCCAAAAGCTTACCCCAACGGCAAGGCCTTATTGATCACATGTGGTTCCCTGCAAAAGGTTGCAAACGGTTGCGGGCACGTCACGCGAACAGCGCTCTACTCTCATGACTCCAATGAGAACCCTTCGGTTTTCACCTTCTCCACCGCCTCGAGTGGGCCATCCACTCATCGAGTCTGTCTTGCACTGCTTTGCTTCAATCCGAATCTGGATGTGAATGTGATGTCCGCAAAACCGCACCCTCGTTCTCTGACCAGGACGGGACTTACTTTGAGTAGGCACGATCGGGGTTCTGTGGGTGCGACCACATAGCGGAAGGCCACGAGACAGCGAAATGCAAACATTCTATTTTGAGGTCTGTCCGATCTGCGCAGCTGAGTTCGGAAACTGAGTTCTGCTGAGGTCACTTGGTGTTGTGGAAACGGTGGTGACCGTACATCCATCCAAGCCCTCCAGGTTCCTGGTATTTCCTGGAGCACCTGGGACAAACACCACTAATTCTCTTTAGAGGTGTTCCTACGCTGGTGGCTACGGTCACAGACAGCGAGAAAGTCACAAAGTCCAAGATGATGTGATCAACTCTGTCAAGCTTCCCAATGGCCTGAAGTAACCTGTGGTGACATCGAGGTGGAAAAGCAAATGGCCCATGTAGCTTCCAGCACCTGTAAGGACATCGAAGGAAAAGGCATCATCTGCCACATAGGCAGAGAAACGGCTTGGTGGCAACTTACCATCTTCCACGATGGGCTTCAACAGTGGAGATCTTTCTCCAAGCGTCACATACAATGTCTCGAAGCCGTAGTCAAGTTGACTCCAAATCTCTGGCATCAAAATCACCACAGGAGCTGTGAATGAGTCAGTGGCACTTTGAGCCGTTACGTAGCCTCAGCTGACTCACGTCTCAATTGCGAAGCAGAATGAGGGCAGGTCATGTGAAGAAACAAATCAAACAACAAACAAACACACCTAAAACCACAATCCAAACAAATCCCAGCGGCATACCGCGCCAGCAGTTGCACCAACCTCTTGTACACCCGTCACACCGCCTGCAACGTTTGCATCACTCTTCGCTGTGAGCTCCCCTTCCGCTCCCAGCTCGAACTGGTTTGATGCATCCGAAGGGGAACACGCCAGCTGAAAAGTCGGAGAAGAAGCGGCCAAGGCCGCTGTCAAAGCGGGCGAGTACGTTGTTTTCACGGAGGGATCGTCCATGAAGACCACGGGAGCGTTGCCGTAGGACAGGCCCAACTGTGCATTCACCGTCAACAGCGCCGAGGTGGTCAAGTAGGATCCATCCTGTTCGGCTGTGATGGTGCAAGACACCGAGAAGGCCTCGGTGATTGTGCCACAGCCGACGACACTGCAACTGGACGTAAAGGCCAATTGACCGGTAGAGGCCTCGATGGTCAAACCGTACTTCGCCAGTTCGCAGTCTTTGTCGACGGAATACTTGGAGGCCGTCCGAGGGACCGGATGCCCCACGATCTCTGTAGCGCCCACCACGGTGGCTCCCACGAAGTAGGTGAAAGGCGTGGCGGTGCGATGACCTCCACCGCAATGACAACAAGCTTCGTTGGAAGAAAAGCCCTTGAACTTCTCGTCATCACAAGAGTCGGACTCCACCAGACTGTAGCAATTCTGTCCCTCTTTGTTCTCCCAAGAGAAATCCATGCAGGCTTCGCAAAAACCGTCCTTTGTGCCACTTGTGCTCACAGCGGTAAAGCCGCCAGCACAGGTCTCACATGTACTTTGATCACTTGACAGCTTCATGCAACTCGCCTTTATCACAGCATTGAATGGAGTAGTCTCCAGCATCTGGCTCAAAGACAGGCACTTTGCTCGTTTCATCACATGCTGAAATGTCTCCGCCCTGTCTGCGCTGGGACAGCGACACGTTGTGCTTGGCCTTCGTAGATTTCAACCCTTTTGCAAGGCTTGTGCTTTTGCAAAGCTCGAAACCCTCGTCCTGCGGTTTCCTCTTCGGCAATTTCAACTTCTTTCTCTTGTTATGCTCATCTTCATGCTGTTCTGCATCCTGTGGCAAAAATGCTGCAATCTGTTGTGGAAGGATCTGCTGCTGGTTGTTGATACCGCTAATGTCCTGCTTGAGATCCTGGATCCTCTGTGTCATTTGAGCCATCCTCTCAAGCAAGCGTGCCTCCAAACCTTCAAACGCGCTCGTGTTCGCATTGGAGGTTGCTGTCTCGACCAAGCCTTGTCTGAAACATCACGAAGCACTTCAAAGGAACATAAAGGAACCAACCAAATGCAACAACAATAGAATTCTTCACGTTCTCTGGGGCCATGACCTGTCTGCAAAAAGCTCTGTGCTCTGTCACTCGACGGGCCACCTGGACACTCTTTCGTCTCTCGCGTTCCCGTCAGTTTGTGAGCGTTTCGCACCAGCTTTGTGTTGCGTGGGCGGTGCGCTGTTGTTTGGTGTCGCTTCAATGGTTCACGGGCCATGTGTCTGCTTTGTGTATTGGGGAGATCATTCTGCATGTGAATGAATACATTCCATCAAGACGGACTTCTGGCGAGACGCGATCCGGAAATCCAGACGGGCCGGTCAGACCGAAAGCTCATCTCACCGAATTCGGAAGGAAAGAAGAAAGATGGGTCCGGTCTCCTCCCAACCCTCAAGGAGCATTCGCACCGGCGTCAAAAGGGTGAAACTGGTGAGGCAAACGAAAAAAAACACAAAACTGAAGCGTTTCTTCCAGAGCTGTTTGTTGGGCAAACACGTTTGCTCTTGTACGTTGCTGTTTGCTCAAGTTCTTCAAAATTGGGCCCAGTCTGAACCAAGAAGTTCTACTAATTGCCAAGCCATGAAGACCCCTTGTCAATCGTGGTGAGAATACTTCGATACTAATGCGCACACCCCTCAACCGGTGTCATCCCAGTTTCCAACCTCAAACGAATATAAGCCGTGTAATTCGTTTTGCGATTGGCACTCCATCTATTCACTTTCGGTGCGAAGAATCTGATGCATGGCACCTCCGCCGCCAGGCCCACCGCCACCGCCACCACTGCCACCGCCACCGCCGCCGCCAGGCCCACCGCCACCGCCACTGCCGCCACCGCCTTTTGGCGCGGAAACATCTCGAAACGACGAAGAGAGAACAACATTCAAACAACATTCATCGGTTTTCACCCATCGACCCGATTTCATGGGATGAAATCTTTGCTGGAGATGTTCAGGACTCCTTCGACTCCGTTGAAATCGCCCTGCTCTTCGCTAGGTTGCTGCACAATCAGCGCGCATTTGCCTGCCAATGAGAGCTTAAGATGCACTTGGCGCTCTGGGCACTGTGCAGCTTTCAATGTTTTTCATGAATGGGACGGTGCCTGGCGCCACAGTGAACTGGACTGTCGCGCCGTTCTCGGCGTCAGACTCACATGGGATCCTCAGCCGAAACGCCACAAACTTCAAACTGTGCACAGTCTCTTTCAAAAAGAGCAATGTTGAGCATGTAAACGCAGGAGGGCACTCATCCACACTGCCAGCGCACGCCACAAATTGGCACGTGGATGAATTGAGGAACCTCAGAAGCCAAACTCCGCCCCTATATCAACGCTTTATACTACCTATATATTTCGAGGTCGTATGAAAAGGCTTTCTCCCAATATGCGGAACATGGCTGTTTTGATAGTCTCAGGAACAAGTTTGCGGTTGAAGTCGTTGAGGGTGCGTGTTGTCTGTGGGCTGTGCAACTCCGGTTTTGTGCTCCATGCTTTGCGGCTTTGCCGTGTGCTGTTTGGCAACTTTCGACAGCCGAAGAATGCATCGACTTCCGAGTTTCGACGCAACAACCGGAATTGCATTGCACCAAGCTACAATAAAAGAACACAAAACCAAATCATTCCTAAGTCTACGAGTCAAGACTTGTTGCTTCGCAAACACAGAGACCACACCCTTTGACCAGCAAAGAGGCGAACCAAAAACGGACACAACATCGTATCATGCGAACATTCGTGATGAGTCCGACTCATTTGGAACACATTTCAACTCAATTTGGAACACAAGCTCTATTCCAAAGACCTCTAAAATTTATGCACGCTGGAATGGCTCCTTTCTCCTCGCATTCACCAAAAAAGGCCCTATACACAGATAGTGCCATGTAGATTAACAGACCAAATGGCCAAGAGAACAAGAAAGCCACATGTTGAAAAACACTGAAAACCACTGACCGAGAACAAGAAGAACATATTGAACATAAAAGCGATAAGAACAATGCCTAAGAAAAACACGAATATAATTATCCCGGCAAGAGACCCCAGCAAAGAGGTGATGGTGGTGATGAAGGGTGTGAGCGGGTGTGGGTGAGAGGGAGTGTGAGTGTGAGTGCGAGTGGGCGAGTGAGTGTCAGTGCGAGTGCGAGTGAGAGTGGGTGTGGGTGAGAGTGAGAGTGAGAGTGAGAGTGAGTGCGAGTGCGAGTGTGGGTGAGAGTAAGTGTGCGTGAGAGTGAGAGAGTGTGAGGGAGTGTGAGAGTGGGAGAGTGAGGGAGTGTGAGTGTGAGTGAGAGTGCGGGTGAAGGTGGGTGCGAGTGAGTGTGGATGAGAGTGAGAGTGAGTGTGAGTGAGCGTGAGTGCGAGTGTGAGGGAGAGTGAGTGTGAGTGGGAGTGAGTGTGGATGAGAATGGGTGTGAGTGAGAGTGAGGGAGTGTGAGCGAGTGTGTGGGTGAGAGTGAGAGTGTGAGGGAGTGTGAGTGTGAGTGAAAGTGGGAGACTTCGAGGTCCACCAAGTGCTGCACCTGCCACGAAATCTGCACTTCGAGGTTCACCAAGTGCTGTGCCTGCCACGAAATCTGCACTTCAAGGTTCACCAAGTGCTGCGCCTGCCACGAAATCTGCACTTTGAGGGTCACCAACTGCTGTGCCAGCCACGAAATCTGCACTTCTGGTTCACAAAGTGCTGCACCTGCCACGAAATCTGCACTTCAAGGTTGCCGCCATGGAGCTCCCGATAATCCCCCGTCAGGCGTTCTCTGCATCCCGGCAAAATAGTTCCCGTCCAATCATCTGGGGAAGTGTAGGCGAGATCAAAAAGGCAATTCTGCACGGTCGATTCCTCAGATTGCATCAATCGAACGAACTCAATGACTCAAAGTAACATGTCATGTATATAAATTAATGTCTTTAGCGACATGTCTTTTCAGCTTTGAATCCGTGCAACTGCCAGCAATCTCTCCTTCTTCATCTTCCAAACATGGTGACTCAAAGGTGTTTTTGGGGATTAGAGCGCGGCTCCGCCCTGGGATGTTGGCAATCTTCTCTTCCAAGTCGTTGATCTTCTTCTGCAATGACCACGACACACCTCTTAGCTCTCTGGTACTCTTCCGGAACTTGGGGTAGAGTTCGGCGAATTTCCGCCCGCTCTGCGTGACCTTCTTCAGGTCTGCAGTTCTCTTCTTGAATTTGGGGTACAAATTGGCGAACTTCTGCGCGCTCTGCGCAAGCTTTGCGACGAGTGTGCCACTTTTCGATGATTCTCCACCAGAGTTCTCCGAGTCTCCTTGCCTCTCCTTCTGCGGCGACTGCTGTGGAACCTCCACCGCCAGGTGTCCTGTCTTCAAAACCGACTGGGAAGATGAACTGTCCATGGATTTGCTCTGCTTCAACGACTGCTTTGTCGCCTTCAAATTTGGCTGCTGTGCAACCTCCACCGCTCGATGTCCTGCCTTCAAAACCGGCTGGGAAGATGAGCTGCTCATGGACTTTCTCTGCTTCAACGACTGCTTTGGCTGCTGGACAGCCTGCTGCGCAGCCTCTGCAGACTGCGGATCTCCCTTGGAAGACCTCGCGCGGTGCAATTGCAAAAGCACCTCTGTCTCCGTCTCGTTGGTCGTATTGCAGCCCTTGCAGCCGACAGAGACTGAAGCTGCCGCCGAAATGGCCACAGGCGGTGCGGATCGGGACTCAGCCGCTTCAGCCCATACCGTCGCAACCGTCACTGCCACAAACACCGTCACAAACCACGGCAACAACCCAGCGCGCGAGCACGCGCCAGAAAGAACCATGATGGACGGCAATGCGCGAAGAACACTGAGAAACAAAGCCTCTGAGGGGTTACACAGGCTGCGGTCAGTGAACACATACACAGTGAGGTTTCTTTCTGGCGCTTGAGTGCTTCAAGCATTTCAATCGTTTTCTGTTAAAAATTGTCCTTTTCAACGTGCTCTCAAGCATGCTCGCTCAAATCTGTTGTCGCCAAAAGGAGACCTTTGCTCCTCGTGTGAGAGGCTTCACTACACACCTGGATTGGTGCTCTTCAGTGTGGCATCCTGCCTGATTGACATGGAGCAAAAACTGGAGAAACCACTTTCGAGACTTGGAAATCTATCCTCAGCACCCCATGCCTTCAAGAAGTCTCTGTAAAGCCTCCTCCCTTGGTCTTTCAAACAAAGGGAATGTAGTCGTTTCCCTTCGAACAAACCTCGCTTTTTGATCGAGTTCCTGACCAATTCCTGGTCCTTTCACCGCCCTTAACATCATTTAAACGATTGGTAGGACAGCACGCCCGACGAGTTTATCTTGTTTTTCCGGAAGCAAAGCACAGCCACTCGATTGGAACTACTACAATCGAAAAGAACCGACTTGGTCAGGGCACTGGCTAACTCCAAGCTTGTCTGACAAACAGCATCCCATTTAAACGATTGGTAGGACAGGTCAATCTGTCCATCAAGCCCAGGGACAGGTGGGTGAGCTGCTGCAGTTTGGAGATGCCTTCACCCAAACTCTCGCAGCCATCCTTGCCGATCTTGTTGTTTGCAATGTGCAGCGCTAGGTTCGTGAGGTGTTGCATCTGGCCGATTCCAAGGGCCAAGGCTCGGCACTCAGGATCACCAATTCGACGATCACCAGTTCCATGGCCATAACCTCCAATCCTCAAAGTTTGATGCTTCCAAAGCTCCCAAAGCGTCACCAGTCCCTTCATGGCATTGGCATCTTCCAGGACGAGCCAGAGCAAGCCTTTGCACACCGTGACCTGATCCGAGGAAAGGCCATCAACATCATCTCCTTCGGCCAGATTCTGCAAAGACATCCAGTTCAGAAACGGATACTTAAAACTGGATGAATCCAGTCCAGTCCAGCCCTTTCTTCTCCTCTGAAATCTCCTCTTGAATTGGCAAGGAGCGGCTTCACCTGCTCCTTGGCTGGCGGCCCTGCCTTCTGCAACAGCATCCACAGCTTCTTGTAGCATCCACTCCCTGACCTCCCCAGCAATTTTATAGTGGAAGGCCCATGCCCAGCAAATGCGCAAAGCTGGCACAGCTATGTTCATCATGAACATGTAGGCTGTAAATCCATCTTGAGTAGAAACCGCAAAGGCAAGAAGTCCTTGAGAAACATCTTCCACCAGCATGGCCCACAGGCGTGCAGGGGTCAATTGCTTGTAAAAAAATGTCATTTTGGCAGAACGCCAAGGTGCAGGGCCCACAAATTCAACGCCCCACCTCCCAAGATCTTCGCCCACCAAACCCTTAAGGGCCACTGCCAGCATCGTATCCTTGACCGAGTCAAACGGGTCGCCCAGGAAGGGCAAGAGTGACTGTTCAAAGCAACATCCACTGGATCATAGGTTCGGTTAAGAATGCGGCTGAACGCCTGGGGAAACCAAAGAAGGCCTGCAGTGAGGCAAGTGTCGTAGCCCTCGAAATCCAAACCGCTGGCTGTCAGCTGTCCAAACCAGCTTGCCGTCAAACAGAGCTTCGTGCACAAAGCCAACTGTGCCACGACCACTAGAGTCGTCCGTAGGTCACGTTGGCCATCTGACAAGGCTTCAGGCTCAGTGCCCGCATGATCCTCATGTCCAAGACATGTGAGTGCACTCAGCACCAGAACTGACATGGCCACAGCCAGGAGGTACTTGGTGAGCATGTATCTGGCCCAGTAGCTAGTCCGATTATGTCCTCCAAGCTCTTCAGAAGTTGGCCATAACGGTCTGGGCTGCAAGAAAGGCACCGTCGAGTTCCGAAGGTTCACTTGGAACTTGAAGCTCGCATTGAGCTTCACATCGATGTCAAGGTAGTCCGTTGGCACCAAGGCTCGGCACGGACTGCAGGTCCGGCTCGATCTGGAGTGGCAGCATTGCCAGGACGAGCATGTTGATCCTAGCTGGGACCTCGTCCTGAACCGGCGGAGACATAGAAACCAAGGTGAAGGGCACCAAGTAGATCCAAAGGCCAAAAATGCCGGAAGACTGGCCAAGAAGATCACGACCACCTGAGGTCCACATCGCCCCAGTTAAGGATCCTGGGAGAGAAGCTAAGCCTGCGGAGATCACACAAGAAAGCACATGTGGGTATTCAGATTCAGCAGTGGGGATGGCAAAGACCATGAAAGCCATGAGCTCCAGGAGCAAAAAGAGCCACCACAGGCCGGTGGCATGCAGCACTGGAAGAGAAAAGCACCAAGCCATCATCAGTGCCAAATCATTTGGTCGCGGCAAACGTCCATCAGAACTCCTCACCCTGTAGCCAAGAAACATCATCCAAATGCAGCTTGGGAGAGCAAAAAGGGTCAGTTGCCAGGTGATGGTGAAGAAGATGGCTAAGCCACCGATCCAAGCGACGGAGAGACCAGCAAAGGCAAGCAACGAAACCAGGGACTTGCTCCTTTTTGATGAGTTTGATCTTCGTCTTCGTCTTGATGCCAAGGGCTTCGCCCTCTTCGTCTTCGTTTGCCATTGCTAAGCGGACTGCAAAGCCGTGCAGAATAACATCGATCCCCTGACACAAGGTACCAAGGCATCTCGATGAAGGGGACCATGAGCCACAAGAAGAGCAGAATGGCCATTGTGATGATCACAGTCAGGTGCCGGTTCCTGTCCCGCCACTTCTCCCAATTCCAACCATCCTTTGTCTCCTGCTTCCACTCAACGACCAAAGCCAAGTAGGTGGCAAAGATGTACCCTGGGAGGCTAGCCACCAGGCGCTGCCAAGTCATCGTTTCACAATACAGCAGCACCAAGAGCCAGAGCGTAGTGATAATGCAAAGGAGCTGTGGGGGCCCACGGAGGAGCAAATGCTCCACATTTTGCTCTGTGTTGCCCTTTTCGGTGTCGGTCTCTCCACCTGACACGACTGCCAAAGGCTCATAGTCGTGGTTTCTGACGTTCCATTGGGAAGCTTTCCAGACAAAATCGGCAACCAGGACACCAATGGCAGCCAGCACCACAAGAAGCCGCCAAACCATCTGGGATGCCAAGGGGCTCAGGCCCCATTCAAGGCACCTAATTTGAGCTGCAATATTTACAGCCTGCACGCACACCAGCATTAGAGCAACTCCTGCCACATGCTGTCATTGGTGGCATGCTCAGAATGGCAGCAAAGTTCAGAGTTCATATCTAAGATTGTTTAAGTATAGCTAAAATTGTTTCAGGCAGCATTCTCTTCAAACTCAATGGGTGCTGGCAGGCAGTTTGACCTGCCACTCACACCAGCATCATTAAACAAATGTACCCAGTGCGTGTTTCAAAACTGTGTACTTGTCCTGGCATGACCTGCTCTCCAACGTGTTTTCACCAGGTGCCACGCTAGTAGTAACAAGGAGCTACTACGAACAAGTGCCTTACTAGTAGTAACAAAAAGCTACTACGAACAAGTGCCTTACTAGTAGTAACAGGTGCCACGCT